GCAAGTTGCCCAGGCGGGTCTCGAACCCGCGGGCTCAGGCAATCCACTCACCTCAGTCTCCCAAAGTGCGGAATTACAGGCTGAGCTACCGAGCCCGGCCGAGACTTTATCTTTTTCATGAAAGTTTTCTCCAAACCACACACAATCCAAACGTGAAGAGCTCCTAAAACTTCACTGTCCGGTGGTGATCTTTGTGACCTCAGTGGAGGTGGATTTGGCCACGCTGAGTCTTTTAGTGTCCTCTGTCAGGGAACAGGCATTGGCGTCCCCTATTTGCCGATGATCCCCCAACCACTTCTCTTTTCCTCCTCAAGCTCAATCAAGCGGAGGGACTCTGGGGCAGTGGCTCTCAACAGGGGAGTCAGTTTGTCCTCAGGGGACATCTGGCAGTATCTGGAGACATTGTTGTCACAATGAGGGGGGGTGGTGCTGGCATCTAGTGGGTAGAGGCCAGCTAGTGGGTAAAGGCCAGAGATGCTGCTACATATCCTACAATACACAGGGCAGCCCCCACAACAAAGAATGATTCAGCCCCAAATGTCAGTGGTGCTAAGCTTGAGAATCCCTGCTCTGAGAGAACTGACCAGGGCTCAGGTGGATGCCTCCAAATAGGCCCATCACAAAAACAGGTGCTGGTGCCAGTGTCTCCCGGGCTTTGAGTTTCTCAGTTCATGACCACTTTCATGACCATCTCCTTCAGGGCGGCGATCCTATCCACTCTGCAATAGAACACGCCATCTAGCTGGGTGCAGTGACTCACAACTGTAATCTCACCACTTTGGGAGGCCAAGGCGAGAGAATCGCTTGAGCCTGGAAGTTCAAGACCAGCTTAGGCAATGTACCAAGAGCTTGTCTCAACAGTGGCAGTGGGTGTGATGGCATGTGCCTGTAGTCCCACCTTCTCAGGAGGCTACTCAAGGCTGCGGTGAGCAGAGATCATGCCACTGCACTCCGGCCTGGACAACACAGTGAGACTCCGACTCAAAAAACAAAACAAGCCGGGTTTGGTGGCTCAGCCTGTAATTCCGCGCCTTTGGGAGGCTGAGGTGAGTGGATTACCTGAGCCCGCGGGTTCAAGACCTGCCTGGGCAGCGAGACCTCATCTCTACAATAAATCAAAAAATCAGCCGGGCGTGGTAGCGCATGCCTGTAATTCTGGCTACTTGGAAGGCTGAGGTGGAAGGATCACCGGAGCCCAGCAAGTCGAGGCTGCAGTGGCCGGGAGCAGCCATTGCATTCCAGTCTGGGTGACAGAGTGAGACTCCAACTCAAAAAAAAACCAAAAAAAAAACCAAACAAAAAAACCCAAACTATTTCTAGCAGTGAAGAGCCTCATTCTAGAATGAGTTTCCTAACCGATGCAATAGAGTATCTTCAAGGGACGGGGGATGCCTTTTTAAAATCTGCACACAGGTTTAGTGGGAGCTGTAGTAAGTAGGTACTCAACAGAAAGCAGCTGCCCCCATGGCGTCACCATTCCCAGCTCACCTTCTCCAGTTCCTGCAGGAACACCTGGGCAATCCAGGAGGCCCTCTCGAAGCAAGTGATCACTTCCTCCTCCCGCTCGGTCAGGCGGAAGCGGGAGGCAATGGAGTTGGGCAGGCATTCCAGGGAGAGGCCTGCAGGAGGAAGAAAGTATGTCAGCCCCACCCTGCCCAGGCCCCCTGACTCCAGGTCCTCCCCAGGGGCCCAAGGTGGGCTCATCCTGGGAACATACACCCTGGAGCAGCCAGTGAGAGGCAGAGGGCTGAGGAGGGGAGGGAGGAAGCTGAAGCATTGGTGGTGTTAGCAGTGGCCAGGAGCAAGCAATGTGCCAACAGAGGGCACCCAGGCCGCACATGGGGAGTCACTCCACGTCACCCCAGCCCAACTCCTGCCGACCCAGCCAGCCAACTCCCCGGAAGCCGCTCCTGACTGCTTCCTCTGGTTGTTAGACTTGAAGCATCCACCCTCTAGGTGCTCATACCTTCTACGCTACATTGTGGCCATCTCCGGCCAGCTCTTCTCTCCCCCACTTGCTGACAGTCCCAGGTGGGCCATGTGACCCTCTGTGAATGGCCACAGTTCCTAGCACAGCACCCCGAGTGGCAGGTACACAGGTTACACAGCACTTTATAGCATTTTATAGTTCCTCCTTGCATAAGTGACCTATCTGCCTGAATGGACACCTACTTCCCATCTTTCAGGGAGGGCACCTTGCTTTTCCTCTGGCCCCCCTACTGCAGTCTCAGTTGACCACAAGACCACAGAAACCAGCCAAGAGTGAGCACCTGGCCTAGTCTGGGCCAGGAAGAACCAGCCTCAGAGCTGTCACTCTTTCCACTGGGGTCGTTAGCAGGTACTAGAGGTCAGGCTGGAAAGGTGAGGGAAAGCCTGCCTTCAAATGAAGTCTACCCAGCATGAATATAAATAACACTACTGAACTGGACACTTAAAAGTGGTTAAAATGTAGCCAAGCGTGGTGGCTCATACCTGTAATTCCAGCACTTTGGGAGGTTGAGGTGGGAGGATTACTTCAGCCCAGGAGTTCTGAGACCAGCCTAGGCAACATAGACCTCGTCTCTACAAAAAATAATTAGCCAGGAGGGGTGGCACATGCCTGCAAACCCCAGCTACTTGAGAGGTTGAGGCAGAAAATCGCCTGAGCCCAGGAGGTTCAAGGTTATGGTAAGCAGTGAGCATGCCACTGCATTCCAGCCTGGGTGACAGAGTGAGCCCCCAACTAAAGAAAAAAAGAAGGCCGGGCTCGGTGGCTCAGCCTGTAATCCCAGCTTTGGGAGGCTGAGGTGAGTGGATTTTCTGAGCCTGCGGGTTCGACACCAGCCTGGCTAACTTGGTGAGACCTCATCTCTACAATAAATAAAAAAATGAGCCGGGCGTGGTAGCGCGTGCCTGTAGTTCCAGCTACTTGGAAGGCTGAGGCAGAAGGATCGCTGGAGCCCAGCAGGTGGAGGGTGCAGTGGCCAGGAGCGTGCCATTGCACTCCAGTCAGGGCGACAGAGTGAGACTCCAACTCAAAAACAAAAAAGAAAAAGACAAAAAAAAGAAAAAAAGAGTTAAGATGTAAATTTTCTGGTTTTTTTTTTTAACCACAATTTTAAGTTTTTAAATTAATAAATAAAAGCTCCAAGGCCAAAAAACAAAAAACTCTTAAAGAATAAATAACAAAATCTGTAAAAAAAAAACAAAACAAAACAAGGGAAAGCATTGTTAGGCTTACTAGAAATATGCCATAAAGACAAACAACTATATTTGTGACAGGTTTGTTTTTTCTTAAGACAAGAAAAGCAGTGAATTAAACTCTCGTCATGAAGACGAAATGAAGTCTGTACAGCGTAAAGATAAGAAGTGACAGAGATGGGCAGATTCCTAAAGACAGTGTTTGAGCACCTAGACTCGGTGTTGCCTAAAGCTGTAACCCCTGAAACTTTCCACTGTATGAGCCATTAAACAACCCCCACCCCCCTCAACACACACACCCCCCTTTACTTTTTATTTATTTATTTATTTATTTTTTAGAGACAGGGTCTCATTTTGTCGCCCAGGCTAGAGCACAGTGGTGCGCCATCCTAGCTCACTGTAACCTCAAACCCTTGGGCTTAAGTGATCCTCCTGCCTCAGCTTCCCCAGTAGCTAGGACGACAGGCACACACCACCACACACAGCTTACAGCTAACATCTTCTTTCTCTCTCTTTCTTTCTCTCTCCTCCCCACCCTCCCTCCCTCCTTCTCTCCTTCCCTCCCTTCCTTTGTCAAAGCCGGTTTACACTGTGTTTCCATCCTTGCAGCTCACACAGACCTGACCAGAAGGTGCTGTCCTTCCAGATGGTCGGCTCCCAAAGACAGAACCCGTGTCTGTCTCACCACGGTGCCCCACATGTCTCTTTCCATATAGTGGATGCCCTCCATGATCTTGCTGATGGGATGTATCACTGTAGAATCTTCAACTCTTTCCTCCGTTAGAAGCCCCGACACCCACCTGATGACCAAGTCCTTAACACTTAAAGTCTCCCCTCCCCCTTCTTCAGCTACCTTAATTCAGGCTTTCTCTCTTAAGTGGGTGAGGGTGACCACATCAGTCTCCTAACTGGCCTCCCTGCCTCCAGTCTCATTCTACTCCCCAGGGGGATCCTTCTAAAACTCTCCAGGGTTCCTCACTGCTGTGGAGTGATGTCCAAACTCCTAAGTTTCCATCCCAGACCCTCCACGGCTCATTACTGTCCTGTCTCCAGCCTCATCTCTCTCCCTACCTGCCACATCTGCACCCAACCTCCTGCTCCCAGTTGCTAGGCTGGAGGATGCCTTCCTCGCTTGCTCTGGAATGTATCCTTCCCACCAAATCCACCCAAGCTCACTTTCTGAATGCCATCTCCTCCACGAAGCCCTTCTTGATATTCCCGGTGTCCATGGAGCCTCTGTCTCACCATTTCTGACTTGTTCAACACATTTCCCCACCCAACCTGTAGGCTCCTTCAAGGCATCAACCTGGTCGTGTTCACCTTTCTACCGCCTGGCACACAGTAGGCACTGGACAAGCACTGGCTGCATGGATGGAAGATGACAAGTCTGATCGTGCCTGACACAGTACAGAGTACTCTGCAAACAGTTGGTAAGGCATTGGGGTTGTTTTCCTTAGCTGGATCCCAACAAATACAGACTCGGTGACCTTGCCCCCTGCCAGGCTGTGGTGTGACTAGGTCCAAAGGTCGGGGTGCCTCAGCCTGGGGAGAGACAGGCACAGAACGGAACGTCAGGCTCCTTGCTCAACACAAAGACTCCGTCACCCGGGTCACTGCGTGTCACCGTGTCTCCTGCCAAATGACTCACGACCAGAGGGAAAAGCTCCTTGCTGCAGAGGACTGAAGGGGGAGGGAGCAGAGAAAGTCAAGGAGGCCAGCAGGGAGCAGTGCCAGCCCCTTCTCCCAGGCATGTGTCTGTCCACCCTGCAGGAACAAACATACGGACTGCTCGGAGGAGGCCTGGCCCGGGAGACCAACTGCAGAAGGCAGGACACGGCCAACTTCAGAGGACACAGAGTGGCTCTGTTCTAGCATGACCGCCCTGTGGTCCCCAGAGAGGTGTGCTGAGGCTGGGTTCTCCTGCCCCGCCTCTAAGTCCAGCTGCTGGCAGGTTTGAGCTCTGGTCCTCAGCCTCCGGTGGCCACCACACAACAGTGAAGTTAGGATCAGCGGTCTGCAGGGCCTCCTCGTTCCCTGTGCTTCATTTGTTCCTGCTACTCCCAGCAGGGCCCTCCTCATCATGCTTCTCCAGAATCCCAAATCCCATCCTCCTTGAAAAGTTCAAAGCAAAGCCACCTCCTCCCTGAAGCCCTCCAGTTGGAGTTAAGTCTTGCTACCTCTCAACTAACAGAACATCGTGGGGGTATCTCCTCTGAGTGTGCCTTTTCCCTACATTACTGTTATCCTCTCTGCTCATTTCTGAGTGATCACTGCACTCTAGTGACAGTCCAGGACTTCATGTTTAGGAAGTTTAAGGACGGATACACAAATGGACATATTCATGGATACAGGAGGCAGAGCCCAGAGGAGTGGTGGGTGGCTCACACCTGTAACCCCACCACTTTGGGAGGCCAAAATGAGAGGATTACCCAAGCCCAGGGGTTCAAGACCAGCCTGGGCAACATGACGAGACCTCATCTCTACAAAAAGATTAAAAAGGTAGCAGGGCGTGGGGGTACACGCCTGTACTCCTAGCTCCTTGGGAGACTAAGGCAGAAGGATTGCCTGAGCCCAGGAGGTTGAGGCTGCGCTAGCCATGATTGTGCCACTGTACTCCAGCCTGGGCGACAGACTGACTCTGACCACCCCCCAAAAAAAGAAAACAGAAAAGAAGGTTCTTGAAAAATTCATAAACAAAAACAAACTGTGGTATATTTATACAATGGAACACCATTCAGAAATTTTTAAAAATTACATTGTGCAAAAGAAGCCAGACATCAAAAAGTATATGCTGTGCGATTTCATTGATATGGCATTCAAAAAAAAAAAAGGCAAATTCATTTATACTAAAACAACAAGTGGTTGCCTGGGGTGGTGAGGATCAACTGGAAAAGGTCCCAAGAGGACTTTCTGTGGTAATATTTAATTAGGGTGCTGGTTACATGAGTATTTATATTAGTTCAACTCATCAAGTTATATACACTTAAGACTCATACATCTCACTGCATAAAAATGCATCTAAATGGAGATAATGCCTTTTTTGAAGGAAGCAGTTACAATTCAGAGAAATAGAGATCGGCCAGGCTCGGTGGCTCATGCCTATAATCCCAGCATTTTGGGAGGCCAAGGTGGGAGGATAGCTTGAACCCAGGGATCGGAGATCAGCCTGGGCAACATAGCAACACCTTGTCTCTACCAAAAAAAACAAAAACAAAAAATTAGCTAGGTGTGGTGGTCCACCTGTAGTCCCAACAACTTGGGAGGCTAAAGCAGAAGGCTCGCCCAGTAGGTTGAAGCTGCAGTGAGCCGAGATCCTGCTACTACTCTCCAGTATGGGTGACAGAGTGACACCCCAACACAAAACAACAAAACATAAAAGTTCAAAGGAGAAGGGATACATGCATTAAGGTGGTCCTCTGTAAAGTCTCTTCCAACATAC